TAACCTACACGCTCCTATGGAGTGCTCTTGCGGGAAGGAAACTACTCCAACCCACTTCATCCACTGTAGCCGCCACGCACAACACACGCGTAGGCTCAGAAAGTCAATGTCCCACGCTGACTTTGTCAAAAAGCTTCTCGGGCCCAAGTGCCACGAAAGCTTCAAAATATTTGCGCAGGAAACCGGCTGTTTTGATAGACGACCTGCTCACTCATCCACTGCTCTCAGCGGGTATCAGATTAACTAGTCATTGCCACAACACATGACAAGAAAGGGAACGAGGCGAGAAGTGTCGTTTCTCTGAGGAAAGATTGTAGCTATTTGGATTTAGGGAAAAGGATTGATTTTTGATCTAGGAGTTGGAGTAGGTGGTATCCGCGTCGTAATTTACTTCCTACTATTTCTGTAGCAAGTCCAGCGGTTGGAATGAGTTGGGCCTGTAAGCAGTGATCCCCGCCGGCTCCACCAGTCTTGTACCTATAGTGGACCTAGAGCTTTAGCTTAGGACTTTAATATAATTAAAAAAAAAAAAAAAAAACCCTTCATCAATTCGAGAAATTCGAAAATTCGAAAATTCATTTTTTCCCTCTTTCCTCCCTTCTCGACCTCGTCGCATCTATCTCTGAATTGTGATCGAGCTCAGGCATTTCACCATGCCTCCAGTTCGCAAAAAGCGCCCCAACGTCAAGTTGGACAACACGAGAGTCCACCCGAGGGCTCTCCAACAATTACCTGGCCTTGCCCAGTCTCCGAAATGCGCGGAGATGAGCAAGGTCTCAACCAAAGGGAAGGAAAAAGCCCTCCCCGCCGTCGCTGAACCCGATACTGACATGATCGGGTCAGTCGAAATTATTGAGGAAATTCCTCAACCATCCTCCGTCCCCCACGGGATTGGAGAATCGTCAAAATCTCCCCCGACCGCGCCAAAGCTGTCGGAGAACGCTGCACCCAAAGCAGCGTCAAAATCAACGTCGCAGCCCAAAGCTGCCACGAAAGCAGACTGCCCTCCGGAACTTCGACCCATTATCGAAGCCGAGCAACGACGTGCCGCCGAAACAGCGGCAAATCTGGCCCTCTGCTCCGCCGCCATCTCTGGCGTCGAAGTCACCCTTCTTCCTTTGACCAACGGGTCAAACAGACAATTTGTAGACTCGATGAGAGTCTACCTACGCGCAGCCATCGCGCAATACATGGCCACGGGCCCGGCCTCCACGCCACCCGTCCTCCCTCCTCGCCCGGCGAACCCGATCCCAAGGGCTCCCGACGTCAGGAGCACAACGATTTCCGCCGTCCCAGCGCTGCCTATAAAAAGCACCCGGGCCACGGTAGCCAGAAATGGACTGCAACAAAAAGCAGTCCCAACTGTAAAGGCTGTTCCGCGACCTGCGGCAAAAGCCCATAATAAAGAAGCTCCGAAGGCTAAAGTCGACAAACGACTGTTCCTTCGCTTAGAGAGCGATCACCCATGGCGCCAGCTTTCGCCTGACGGCATACGGCATCAATTATGTTGTAGGCTACTGTACACCTTGAGTGAAAAAAGCTCTATACACCGTGTCAGAACCGGATTTGCGATTCTGACAGCGGATGAAAATGAAAGGGAAGAGCTCTTAGATGCCTCACCGAAGTTGTCGGACTTCAAGGCCAAAATCGAGGAAGCCTCCAACCTTGTCGCCTTTCGGATCGCGAATGTTCCAGCGACTATAAAATTAATCAACCGTATTGAGACGGTCGATGCCGGTAGGATCTCACTGGAGATTTACCGCAAAACACAACGACGTCCATGCCAGGTGCGACCGCAAGGGACATGTCGTCCTGGAGCGCCATACAGAAACTGGTATGCCCTTTTCAACCGGGACTCCGCCCCTCGTGCGGGCTTCCGAATACTCGACGAGTCCGGAGCGGCTACAAAGATCCAGCCTCGTCGCCAAATTGAACAGTGCAAACGCTGTTTGGGCTTCCACGCCACCCGTGGTTGCTCCCGCGCCCCAGCGTGCTGGAGCTGCGGATCAAACATGCACTCGGAAGCCGAGTGCAAGGCCCTCACAAAATGTCGCAACTGTGGGGGACCCCACCGATCGGATTCTCGGGACTGCAAAGTCAGACCCAGAAAGTCTGGACCGGTGACCAAAGAGCAGCTCGCGTGGATCCGCCACATCGAACAAGGGGAGTTCGCGAAGGTGGCACGAGCACGAGCAACAGCAAAGAAGGCTGAAGAGGCAATCACCGCCGCTGCAAAGGACGTCTCGATGGCCGAGGCTACAGGTTTCGGAGTTCTGGAATTTGAAGAAGAAGTTTGAGGACACAGCAGCCTCGACAATGTCCCTTTTGGGGCATATTCTAACCAATAGCAGGATACCGGCTGGATAAAAAGTGCCTGCTATCTCATCTCTTGCTCTCAGCGGAGATTGAGTAAATTTGTCATTTGAAAGATGTGGCAGGAAAGGGAACGGGCGAGAAGCGCGGGATCCGGACCACATGAAAGATCTTGTAAATTTGATTTCAGTCTTTGGCTTTTAGTTTTGATTTTAGTTTTTGATTACAGTTTCTGAGTTATAATTTACCTGCTACTTTTTCTGTAGCGGGTCACGCGGTTGGAATGAGTTGGGCCTGTAAGCAGTGATCCCCGCCGGCTCCACCAGTCTTGTACCGATAGTGGACCTAGAGCTTTAGCTTAGGACTTTAATATAAAAAAAACCCTTCATCAATTACTTCCATTAACCATCACCTGACTTATCTCTGTTCTCCATAAATTTCAACACATAATATTTTTTTTTTGCATCAGATTTTAATTGCGTATGCAGCTATCTAGCTATGACACAATATCAAATAAAAGTACAGAAGAGATGATTCAACGTAAAGGAAGAGCAATCATGCCTCGGATTTCATTTGCAAGTACCACTGCGAGGTTATGGTGGCTTTTTCTTCGCCCCAAGTCAACCCTCATCCGTGAATACCCACCCAGGGAAACATCTCAAAAACCCTGAGTTATCCAGACATGCCTCCGTCATCCATCAAATTTTCTCCGCGCGAAATATTGTCTTAGGCGTCTCCTTCCCAAGTGGAGTAGGTGCCCAGGCTACTCAAACCATACCAGAGAACACCACCAGGAGGCAGATCACTACACCTTCCATCGTCTGCTTGTTTTTATAGTGTGAGCTGCACTCTCGCAAGCAAAGCCTTGGCACGTACAAAGCTCAATTCGTAAAACTCCATGCCAAGATTCGAAATTTCACGCCCGTCGAAAACGTATCCCTCTTCTGCATCATCTTGTAAATTGTCCTGATCCCTCTCACGTCCATCCCAAAGAGCTATCTCCCAGATTTGTGCTCCACGCTTTGCTTCCTCCGTCGGGTATAAATATCGGCGTGGGCGTATATTTGGTGACCGGATGAGGCCAGAGAAAGTCGACGAGAGGTGTGGTCATTGAAACGAGGTTGTACTATGTCGTACTTGTAGACTTGATGAAGCTTAGTTGAGAATCGGACTCTTTGGGAGTGAAAGATTGACATGGTGGAGTAATTCGAATTTTTGCCCCGTGGGCCAACTTCTTTGATATTGCGAAATTTGACTGAAATTGGCTCTGGGAGAATATTTCACTCTCAGGTTCGTAGAGGACACCGCGTACAGGTGTTTAGTCTTGCCCTCCACAGTACATAATAATTAGCTTGTCGGAACACATTGAAAACTTCATGCCCCTTCACTACACAAAGTCCTCACTTCGGAGATTCCCGATCGCCTTTGTGGTTTGTATCTTCTTCTCTCCGCATAACCCCTCGGAGCCATTATCATGAGGCTATCCATTATCATCTTGGATTGTAGGGTTGAGGCCCTACTCATCACCCACACTTGATCATAGAGACGCAATCCGATGAGTTTCTGTAGCGTACCCAGCACCCGATATGGCGATACTAGATTAAGTCAATTTTGCCACTTTAGTTACGACAACGGGAAATTCGCATGGGTATACGCACCTCATCTGATCCCTATGCCTAGGCCAGACCTAGCTGAGGCTGCACGTCTTTTGAGACTTTTTCCAGCGCAAGCAGTTTCAGGTGCTACCTAGTTATTTTTTCGAGTAGAAGGTTCAGAGGGAAAATAGACCGAATTCTGAGAGTAAACACGAAGCCAAATAAAATTTCATCATGGTCTATCTATGGGATCTTTAAGCAACAAAGGAGGATAGGAGCATTTTATAACGCATGGCCTGAGTTTGAGAGCCCAACGTGCTACGTGGTCTTGACCCAATAATGATATAATAACTAACCCGAATCAAGAGATGCAGATTTCAGAAAATGGTCAGTTTTATTCAAATGACCGATCTTTTCATTTCTTGCGCTACTAGTGCTACAGAAGAGCTGGACAGACTAAATCTTCTCACATGAATTCTGTTGAACGGAGGAATTTGCTTGACATTGTGAGAAAGATGTTCATTGTCGGCTGCCTAATAAAATTACAGGTTAATTTAGTTACCTTGTACTCTTCTACTTCCCATGTTTCTGGTATTATTTCAGCAATAATCAGTACCTTGTGCCTTTAAAAATTGAATGATGAACTGAGGTCTGAGAGGCCCTTGTTGAAATCCGAAAGATACCATAGTCTTGTAAATCCATATTTCTTTTAGATTTATAGCAGTATGAGGTCAGACATTCAGAAGTAGTATGGATTTCGTTGATAGGAATAGACCTAGGTAAGTGGATAAGACCTGTAGTGTTCTTACACTACCTTGTATTCGTGCCCTTGTTGGGAGTCTTTATCGGCCATGGGGCCTTAGGCCGAAATATCAGTCCATCCGTGATACTTGGTTCAATTTGACTGATGCTGCAAAAATTTGAAAGCTTATTAATGCTTTAAATTTTTGAGAAACGTTACCGAGAATTGCATATCCTGATCGGGTTGTACAACGGTTAAGTGTTACTTCAGAATGGCAAATGCATTCCTAGATGAATTATTGTACAAAAAGTGTTCTCAAACTACTCTTTTTACCTGTTGAGAGCAAAATGTCAGAGAATTGAACAAGAGCTGGGGTAGATTAGGTTTCTGCTCACCTCAAAAAATCTCTTAAGCCACCATACTTGAAATATACCTTCTCCGAGTAATACCGCCATCTGAAATATACTCCACCATTTGACTCTCGAGTTGGTGCTTTCAGCAGTATTCCTGTGGGTCCTTTCGCGAAGAACAATGTATGATTGTTCGTCTTTCACTTGCGATAAGAGACTCGATAGTTCGCGTACTGCATACGATTAGCCACTGTTGATGTAATGATTCTCTTAAGATCATGTGCGGATTACCTTCAGCTTCAAGTGGATCAGATGGGTGCTCTGGCTCCGATACATACACGACACCATGTACATTGAATGAAACCTCTTTGCTTGCCGCCGACCAATGCTCATTGCTAAAGCAGTAAGGGTACCTACCGTCATGTTCGGCACGAAATGAATAGTCACCGTTTGCAACAGATTTTTGATGTGTCTGATAGCCTCCCACTGGATTTTCAATCTAGATCACATCAGAGAAATGTTTACTTTTGAAATCATAGGCCCCCAGAATACACTTACCCAAAAGTCAATGTGAAGACTGCCTGCACCACCAAATTCTCTATCGCCTACTTGAAACGTGACAGCCATTTTATCATCGCGATGAAGATCCTCATAGAAGCATTCCCTCCCATGAGCTGCCAAATTAATACTGTGCGAGATGGCGACTGAAAATAAGCTACAAACTGTGAAAATATATCCCAATAAATGCATGCTGATTCCGTTGTCTTCACTTGGTTGTGTGTCGAGTTATTGCCGTATGTTTACTATCTCTCCGAATTGCAGGATTTGAACACTAGGCATTAAAGTTGAGGCCAGGGTGTCGGCTGTGATGGGCTTAGCGCCATCTGTGGTAGTGCCAAATTCTTGAACGAGCCACTTCAACACATCTCTAACCTCCCTACGTGTGTCTCTACCTATCTACAACCTCAACCTCGCTAATAACATCTTTCCGGACTCTGCTTGGTTGTCTACGATCCCCAGTTAAAGTAAGAAACAATTCATTTTGTGATGGTCTCCTCAGCTTGCAAGGCTATTAGAAGCCCAAGCGCAAGGCGCGTCGAATCGATTCAGCAGAAGAGGATTGTCGATTGCCAGAATCACACTCCAGTCGATTGTATTCATGGTCTGCTCAGTTCGAATGTCTCTAAATTAAGCCTTGTTTAAAGCACGCTAATCATCATCCTGCTAATCCCTGACCTCTTCATAGACACACTGCTGAGAATATAACTCGTCACGTATACTTTAATCACATTTTCTTGCAATCATGGGACTTGCATTTTCAAAAATCTTTGACAAGTTATGGGGAAAAAAAGAGATGAGGATTCTGATGGTCGGGCTTGATGCCGCTGGAAAGACAACGATTCTGTACAAGCTCAAACTTGGAGAAATTGTTACGACTATTCCCACAATAGGTATGAAACCACTGCTAAATAGCTCGTGTGGCACTAACTCATTTCTGAGGCTTCAACGTTGAGACAGTTGAATATAAGAACATTCAATTTACCGTGTGGGATGTTGGCGGACAGGATAAAATACGACCTCTTTGGAGGCATTACTTTCAAAATACTCAAGGAATCATTTTTGTGGTTGACAGCAATGATCGTGATCGAGTTGTCGAAGCACGAGAAGAACTTCAACGGATGTTAAATGAAGATGAACTTCGAGATGCTATCCTTTTAGTTTTCGCTAACAAACAAGATCTGCCAGTGAGTATTGATTACTTTTATATTTTAGGCACACCTAACAACATTTTAGAATGCCATGAACGCAGCCGAAATTACTGACAAATTGGGTCTTCACGGATTGAGACAACGAGCCTGGGTAAGTTAAATTGATTGTCTTTCTACACGATTCTCACGTCTGTAGTACATACAATCCACCTGCGCCACATCCGGAGACGGTCTCTATGAGGGCTTAGAGTGGCTTGCTCAGTCATTGAGAAAGGCTGGTCATCAATAAACGCAACCTCTAATTTCCTTTGATCAATAACATTGTCAATGTCATGACTATTGAATGTCTATATCTCAATCTCGCGTATCGAACACTGACTATACAGCCCATGAAAAATCACAACTAGTTCAGCAGATGAATTTGATGAGGCGTAAGGGTGGTTATTACACGGAAACTGAAGCTTCCTCTGCGTGATGGGTAGTTGCATTGCATGTAGCTGGATTCTCACCGTCCGTGTCTTAATTTTCATTTTATTTGCGTGTTTTTTCCGACTGTTGGGCTTCCTACATCCGGGCTTTATTACAATATTGTGTTTCAACCGGGTATAGGGGGCGAAGATGGAGGAATGATAACGGTAGTTTCGTCGGGAAATCCACAATCAAAATAATTTTCTCCGTTTCATGCATGCGTGCAAATCACGATATTATGATCCCTTAACACTAGCGCTGAAAATCTTCAGTGTGAGCTAAACCGAAACTCATGAAGTTTAGGATTTACTTCTCTAGTCCGAACCCAACATACGACGAAGCCACCTTTTATCTAGTGCTTGATGAACGAATAAAGTTCCTTTGAATCGGTTATTAAGAAGGGATACTGATATCTAGGTTACGGGTAAAAGTTACAAAATGAGTACACTTACTATTCTTCTAGACCTGCGCGGGCAGCTTGGTACAAGGATATTTCTAAGAATCCAACGAACCAGAATCTGTACAGATTTCGATGCCGGATGAGTGAGTGCAAAATTGTTAGTGAAGACTCTGGTTTCGTTAATGCCAGTTTGTGAGTTATTATCTTGCTCTTCTATGATAGAAGCTGCTGGTCAATAGCCGCTAGCGACGCGCTTTTTATCCAACAGGCCTATGTGACTCGTGTTGATCTAGCTTACAGTGATATGCGCCTGCATCAGTATTAGGATGATATTGAAGGCCAGGTCTAAGTCGGTTATAAAAAGCTAGTATGAAATCATGCCAGTCAACAAGATAGACATAGATTCTGAGTACTAGCTACTCTACTTGTCTTAATGTAGTCATAGACTCAATAGGACTAGAAACAGTAATCTACTGCTAGCTACTGTCACCGATCAATTGAGCTGATAAATTCTTTGGCCAAAATTAAGGAACAGTCTTAGTAGTGTAGTTGGTTGTCCCTGGCTAGCAGCATCAATGTTCAATCTGAAGGGCGAGCTCAAGCTCATAACCTCAGTTTTCATGTAATTTTCCTTGATCAAAGTATAAGTAGATAGCTCCATTCCAGAATGAAGAAATCAAGTTGGTCATCTACTGAGCTGTTGATGCCTAAAGATTCTCTTAACCCGGCATGGGGTTAATAGCCAGGTTTCATGGCAAAAGGATACTGAGCGGGTACGGTTTAGAACAAGCTTCAAGGTCTGTGAGCCGTCAATATCTGGTATAAACTTTCCATTGAGTTATACCTCATTTGGGTTTATCTACAGTAATATTACATAATGGATGGGAAATAACCCATTCAAGAATCAACACCACCAATCGGTGGTTTCAACGGAAAGCCTCGGGGTAACTTGTTGTGATTACGAGCCATAACCAAGATAAGATGGTATCTGATGAGTTTAGTTGAAACTGCTAGTGAGGGGGGCGGGAGGAGAGCCGTAGGCTAGTTATTAGTGTAAAGACTGAGCCGCAGTGGTTTCACTACTGCACAATTCAACTGGAACTGATAGCGGCACGCCAATCAAAAGTCACCAATGTTAGCGTTCGACTTTCTGCGTGAGCAGGTGCAAGTGATGGTAGTATTTGCGAGTGAAATCCAGAGTATGAGAGACTCCAATGTGAGAGGGGTCGCTCAACATGTTCACAGGAGACTGTTCATATTTCATAGCCCTACAGCTCATTGCGCCATCAACGATCAAAAAACTGAAGCACTCACAGTTTTATGCTCAGCTGTGTCGTATGGTAGATCTGGTAGCGGGTGCAATGGGGGGGGGGGGTGTTTTTTACTTCATTTTATTGTCCTTTCTGAGTCTATGACTATGTAGGACATGCAGGTCCTCTCGGCCTATAGGCCAAGCATATCTATGCCAGTAGCATATCCCCTCCTATGCCTCCCATACAGCTCCCCTCACAGGCCCTCACTCGATCGTACTCTTAGAGGAGCCCTTTGCCCTTCATTATCTCCCCTCTTCAGCCAACGAAACGATGGCCATTTGCGGATGTATGGCAGCCGGGAAAAAGCATGGGTGATTATTATGACCTTGTGACGCATAGAGGAGATTCAGTCCCTCCACAATGACGTTACAAGCAGTACTGTGTGCAGCACGAGAAGCGGATCACTCCGATAGGATTGATAATATGGTGATTCAGCAGGCAGCAAAATTTTGAGGTCTTAGTTCGCAGGATGGTGTGGTAATCTCTCGCGTTTCAGCCTTGGTCTTCATGGTGGCCAGTGGTTGCATTGCGCTTGCTGCCATGCGGGCGAGAAGGAACCGAATGGCGCAAGCCGCTATCCAAACCCAAGCAATTTGGCGCATGTGTGGATGAAAGCTTCCCTCTTGGATGCAGAGAATTAAGCCGAGCCAGAAGCACAGTATCAGTAAGGAACTCACATATCGGCAACGTAGTGGAAGCGGTACGCTAAAAATAGACAGCGACGGAAGGTGTTGTGGTCCGCCTCTTGGTCGTCATCTCCCCGAAATAAAGCCTGCATAGCCTGGACTCCTAGCCCTTGCGGCAAAGGGAGGACTGTGAGGCCATACCTCACGCGCTGCCTACACTTAAGAGGATAGAGGCATGTTAGCGTAGCCAGAGCTCTTTCCTGTTTTCCCTTTGAGGGATACTACGGTGGAGGGAAGGGCGAGAGTCCCTCGTACCAGGGTCTTGAGTGGTGCGATAGTTAAACTGAGATATGGTCACGTGTGTCACAGTTCGAGTGTCGATGCTGGAGCAATCAGATGTACGAAGGTAGTTTATAATTATCTCTGTGGCTAACTACCATAGTATTACTTCAACTTTTTGTACATTTATGAAAATATGTAGAATACTCGTTCTTGGCTGACATCTGCTTCTCGCACATTCCTCTCATAGTATTTCCCAATCTTGCTACCAACTATGAGAATGTTCTAGTTACAGCTGAACTTATCTGGAATAAAGCTAGATTTGATTTTGATTTTGATTGAATTTAACGTCGTGCCTATCTACAGCTCGTGACTATTATCACGTACTGGACGGCCCAGTCCCTACAGAACCACCCGACGCTCTAGCGCGCACTACAACACCTAGAAATTACAAAAGTGTCCGACCAGCTGTCCGCCACTCTGCTTTCCAATTTAAATGTAGCAAATTTCTTTCTACCAGGAACTTCACTTTTTTTTTTTTTTTTACCTAATAATTTTTAATTATACCCGCAGAACAAGAAAATAAGAATAAATCCTTCCATCTATCATTAACCCCATACCAGATCGTAAGGGAATATCTAATGGGCTCTTTGGGTTTCGTCGTAGAACTTCGTGAGCTCGACCCATTTTCCGAAGGCAAGGGCGCCTTCGGGCGTGCCGAGTACCCATCTGATGCCAGGGTGGGGGTGTCGAGGTCCACCGCAAATACGGGCACAGTTGCTTCCTATACTGCAGTAGAAGAATTGATCTGGGCTTTTTTCCTCGCAACAGGAGCAAGTCATTAGGACATCTTCGTGTGCGAAGCGACGATGATATTGGGCGAAATTTCCGTGACCGGAACGAGCCGCAATTAACGCCCCAAGTGCACGTCGGTTTAAACCTTTCATTTCTGACGTTATTCCTATACTAGGACCAATTCCGAGTTCCTTGTATCTAGTGGGGCCTTCCTGAACCCAGAAGGCGGTGGTGGAATCGTTGTACAATAGAAAAATTTCTCTTTTTGCTCGTGCTATGGATAGAGATAGGAGTGGCGCAGTCATTAGACAAGCCGACTTTGCTAGAACATCAGCTGCTTCATTTCCAGGGATTACAGAATGTCCGGGGCACCATCTAACACTGACTGCTCCTGCTCTAGTACAGGATGCTCGTGTCCTGTTTGTCCAACTAGCTGCTAGCTGCCGAAATTTTGCAATTTGGCAAGAGCTTGTTGCAGTTGGTGTTAACAAGAGAAGTCGAAGATCCGCTTTTTGGTAATCTAGGCAGATAGTTACGTTGGTTGCGTAAAAGGCCATGGGATTGTGGAGGGCAGCTGCTAGACCCTCTGTTGCTCCAGATATTTCTGCGTCGTATACTTCTGCAGAAGCGCCTGGAGGAATGGTTCCGCAGGCAATCTCATGGGTTGCACCGCGTCGAATTGAGTATCCGGCTCCTGCTTGATTCTCTATCATAGCGCCGTCGGAGAAAACAAAGAGGTCCATCATGGATTGTTGGGCGTACCATTCAGTGAAGGAATTGACTCCCGCTGTTCGGCCAACAGCGCCTATCTTTTCCAGACATTCATCGCGTCCAACTTCCCAAGGGGAAGAGATGTCATCCTCTGAGAGCTCCGAGGAAATCCTTTCTCAGATCTCGCATATTGTCGATGAACCAACGTCTACGAAGAGGGTGTCTAAGATCTACTGCCGCAGTGCAGAGGGAGACGCGATCGTGTATGCGCTCAAGCCGGGCTTTTGCGGGCCCCCAACCTGTTTCCCGAAGAAGAACAGCTATTGGTGTAGTACGGAATACAGGAAGTGCTGCGCGAGCAGTATCGTTCATCCGTTGTTGGATCCGAAGGACCAGTCCTTTAGGAGCTCCTTTAGAATACCATGTCTCAGCCCCGTAGAGCAAAGTCGCGAAAGCTGCACCTTGGAGCGCTTGTCTCAAAAGTAGCGGGCTCATTCCTCGGGTGACTCTCGAAAGACTTTTAATGTGGCTTGTAACAGCCAAGGATCTTCCACATGCTTGTCTGACATGTTCTCTAAATCGGAGGCTCCGATCGAAGATGACCCCAAGCCAGCGAGTGTGGGCGTTTGGTGTGATCTCAACTCCATCTGCATATACACTAGGTTCAAGTGGAGATCTGTGCTTTCGGTGGAAGTATTGTGGCTCTGTTTTCGAGACTTCAAGGGCAATACTGTTCTCACGTCCCTAGGCGAGGGTCATAGATAACTGCGTCTAAAGTAACTCTCCGCAGCGGGCGAGAGTCGGTGCGGACGCTGTAATTGCAACGTCGTCTGCATAGCCGAAACGCTTTGGGGAGAGATGGGGAATAAAGCTAGACTACTGTAGAATTATAGAAGTAAGTGAATACAATCGCGTGCCACACAACATTCGGCTCACAAGCCGTTAAAACATTTAGTCGTTGATATGCTCCAGGAGAAATTAGACAGCACCATAGCATGGGGACCGACTAACGGAATTAGTTTCGAACTTCCTAAGACTGAGCTGCAATACTTTCATCGGAAGCGAGGCTCACCACTAGAGCCTACTCTTAGTATTGGAGGGACAACTATAACGCCCAATGACCACACTCGCTGGCTTGGAATCTTTTTCGACCGTGCTCTTCGGTTCCAATATCATACTATACAGGCTTGCCGGAAGTCTCTAGCTATCACGAGCCATATGAAAAGACTGTCCACAACTACTCGAGGAATAAGCCCTCTTTTTCTAAGACAAGCTCTACAAGGTGCCGAATTTGCGACCCTCTTCTATGGGGCCGAGACCTGGTACTCCAAAGAGACATCTCAAAAGACAATATCGCGACTCCAACACAGGATGAACGACGCAGCTCGGGCAGCCCTCCCGTTCTATTGCACCACCCCAATAGCAGCACTCCTACGAGAAACTGGCTGGGGCCCAGCTCAGACGTGGCTCTCCCGAATTCACTGTCGTCTAGCGGTTCGAATTGCAGCAGCAGAACCGCACCACCCTCTTTGTCGGCGTTGGAATACTAGTCGCATGCGCTGGATCCGCCAGAGGATCCCGTTAGAACTTTCCGATGACACCATACCCTCACCATAGTCCGCACCCCGTGAGGAAAAGCTAATCGAAATTGGAGCAGTAGGTAGACTCTCGGGATCAAATTCCTTCAAACAGTGGCAGGCTGCTCGACCCATTCTAGACTTATTCGTATTTTCAGATGGAGCTCTAATGGAAGACCGAGCAGGTGCGGGTTATGTCATCTACCGAGATCTCACGCAGGAGATTGGGCGAGGATCACTCCCGCTCAGAGACTTGTCGGAAGTCTATGATGCAGAAATTGCCGGGGCCACGGAAGGTCTTGCCGCAGCTCTTCGCAACCCACTGGCCTATTGTACCTCTAACGTTACTGTCTGCCTCGATAACCAGGAGGCTGCCATCCGTCTGCTCTTGGATACGCCCGCAGCGTCTAGCTTGGCAAAAATCTTTACCTTCCGCAAGCTCGCAGTGAACTGGAGAAGGAGGCCATGCGGCCAAAATACGTCGCCTTGGGAAGTAGCTGTTCGATGGTGCCCAGGCCACGCAGGTATTCTTGGAAACGAAGTTGCCAACGCTCTAGCCAAAGCTGCCTGTGCGGCTCCAGCTCTACACTCAGAACTCTCCATTGCGAGGGCAAGGAGAGAAGTCAAAGCCCAATACGAGGCTTCTGTTGCACTTTATTGGGCAGAAAATGCACCTTCTAGATACAAAGAATTAGGAATTGGCCATAATACTAAAATCACCATTGAGCTCGCTGGTCTGGGGCGACGTGTATTAGGATATCTACTAGCTTTACGGTCAAGTCATGGCGACTTCGCGGACTACCACCGACGGTTTCAGCATGAAAACGCCATTCTAACCTGCACATGCCGAGAATAGAAGTCCCCTAACCACTTTTTCTATTGCCAACTCGTGCCATACCAAGCTCAGCTCAACAGGGCACAGAATTCTAATTCCAGTGTATCTTAGGCTCTTGCTTCAGCGGAGGAAGATGATGCATTCAATAAGTGGTTGCGTGTCATAGATTTCTTCGAAAGGTTATCGACTTTTAAACTTGATCATCGACTTTGTATATCAATGTCTGTTATCACAGACATTGGAAATAATTCATGAGATTGCCTGATGAGAGGCTAGCATTGATTCCGATATAATATTATAGAAGACTTGTCCCAACTATCAGAGGGCTACAACGTCTTTATCTTTCTACAGGTAAGCTCCCCATATTCCAACCACGCTAGCCATACAGGACGTAGTATGTAAAACCTGATTCGTATCATCATTTTGGGGTTGGGGTTTACCGTGAATATTGTTGTGATTAAGGTTTGAGTAGGTATGAGATGTTGAATATTCTAGGGATAGTGCAGAGTGTGGATAACGATTATCAGAGCTTGATGATATGATGAATAGCTTGGTTATACTATTCTACATATCTCAGTAGTAGATAGGACTTATATACACATATTTGGTACCTGCTATACAGTACATCACCGTCTATGCATGAAGTACTACAATCTTAATTTCATGCAACAATATCCCATATTACTCTATGCCATTGTATAGAGCTGCGCCTCAATAGTCCATCGTAATGATAGCCTTATAGGGCTGTGCAGTACTCGCATAGATGTGTTGTATCCCTGGCACTTGGTAGAGATAAATTTAGAGTAAATGCAATAATCACATCACAACACATATGCTACTCGAGTCGCATATCTGACTACTATGCGACCCGCTCAGCTATCAATCTAACAACCCACACCAAAACCGAAACTACTCACAACTCTGACGACGACCCCATGAATAATTGAAACAGTAGCTTGCAACATAGCACAATTAGGCTAGGCATCGTTGACCAGGACCTAATCCGAACAAAGGGCACAACGAAAAGTCTGATTCGAACGAAATCATAATTTGATGTAAACAATCTTCTCTGATTTTTTATTCTGGTTTGTAAAATCATTTCTTGATTTTGTACCAGCTGCATAGCATGAGATTTGGTGGACGGACGACCTCCATGTAAACTATAATCTTCGAGCGCGGGATGATAAGATCCTGACTATCATTTGCTTTGTTGGGTCTATGTAGGCGCCAACACGTCGGGCAGTTTAATTTAGACCGGGCTGACCGGTACGTGAGGAGCCCACGTGCTGCGCGTGGGCAAGACATTAAACATTATTAATGTAGTCATTATCTTAGAGAAGAAATAAATAGGTCTTAAACCCTGCCTCAACTTTGAGCCTTGCATTATGGACGGATGGTGTGGTATTTCTGAATGGATCTATTAGTAGCATCCCGAGAGTGGTTGTGATACATCAAAGGATTTAAGAGCCTTGGGGACTGACTGTAAAAGTGCAGGTGCTACACTACACGCAATTGTGTAATTAGAGAGTTGCCCTGCAAATCTAGTAAGGAAGTAGCAAAGGTGAAGCTACCAGGGTAGTAAGCACTGGCATCCATGCCTCTAGTTAGTTTAGTGGGTAGTAGGTACCTAGGCCAAGCTTGGCGCGCCTTCGGACGAAAAATTGAAAAAAAAACATGTAGTCGTTGATGGGAAGACTAGTCCACCACGTTTCAAGCTCTATGAGTGTGTTACGGGCCAGGCCCTGTTGATTTTGGCTCGGCTGTTTAAGCCTGTAGGGCCCATCCTTATTTGGTGGATTTGGTTTGTCCACTAACGTGCTAGGTGTTGAAGTTATGAGCTTGAGCAAAGATGGAGGTTATGTTATAATAACGAGGTCATAAGGGGAAAGAGGAATACCTGAAATGGATGCAAATGATTATGGATGCGCGGATATAATTGACATGGCTGTAGTGAGAAGAAGCGTTGGAATGGACAGTAGTGAGATGGTTAATTTACAATCGATCTGCGGAAGTATTGCTTCCTTATATATACATTCAGTACCCCAGTCCTGATCACGCACTCACCACAGGTGCTTCCTACTTCTGTCACAGTAACCGCTTCTATAGCCCCTACCAATATCTCCTGTCATAACATACTATTGACACTGGTTGCTAGTGTGGAACTCCCGGGATTGCAGAGCTATACACCGTCGTCACATTATATGTTGTTGCCCCTCGGTAGCCATCAGAGTGATGTGCGCCTCAGTCTCAACGCATTGGTCCACCAGGCAACGCTCGGATGTAGGGATGTTGCCAGAGTGATTAGGTACTTAGCTGTGCTGTCAGTGCCCTAATCTCATCTAGCTTACTGCGGCCGAGTGTCCGAGTGCCGCAATGGTGGGAGCCCAATGAGGCTCGATCGGAGCTGACCCGAGGTATTCACAACAGGTTATAGCTGAATCAGTGTCGGCAGTTAGACCGATGCAGCAAGTCTTGTATGAGTTTGTGAGAGGAAGATCCGAGTGGAAATAATTGTATTTAGAAGTATAATTCTGAGTAAAAACCGAGATGAAAAGAGTGAGATTGCGTGTTCGCATGTCTCATCAACTGTGGTTTTTGACCAGTATTTTTCAATCTCCATGGATTGTGGGTTATGATCCATGTAGATGTAGATCTATGTACATACACATATATGGATCAGGAATATAAAGCTAAATACATGTGTGTCTGTAATAGATACGAGAAAACTATAACCTGCATTTAAGACATAGTCATCTGCTGGAATTCTAGCGTGAGATAAACGCTAATGCGCATTAAACTTTCGGTGAAGGATATATTGATAACAGTGATATAGAATGGGGAATTCGATTGTCAGATTAGCCGGACTTACTAATAAGTTATTCTTGGCATTCCAAGATATATCATATTTCAACACTAGGTAAAGTGGCTACCGTTAGAATCCTACTGGAGCTTAAGCACGAGTGGTGCCGAGCAGGATCAGGTTAACTACCATCAATCACATCTACCCCGTCCCACCTGAATGACCGGACCACCTCAGACTTCACCCATGTGTTGAATCATGTCAAGGCCGACCGTCCAGAGAACCGCTGTATACACGCCGTAGCGCAATTTCCTCCTCAGCCTCGGCTACGACGCGCCCGAGCCCTTGACACCTTCGCCGTCTGTAGCTTTTATTATGATTGGTATATGATTTAGGAATGTACACTTGCGCTGGAACAGCTAAGATAGTTTGTGGAGAGATTTCTTCATTAATATGCAGAAATGAAGTGTCTACAATAATTGTTATGTTACAGATTGGGGGAAGCTCGTCCCTTATTCCCTAGCTCATTCGCTTGTGGACCGATCATGTTACCAGTATGCAGCTCACCAAAGTGTGCTCCCAGCTGAGCAGCTATGCCATTTATACTAAATCAACAACCCATCTCTCGTATTGCACACATTACTACTTGTAATGTCGTTATGTAGAGACTGGATCTCCTTCATGCGCCATAATGCCATAATAACTACCTATGCACCAGCTACTAGATCTACCATACTACATAGCTGAGCATAACAGCTTTTCCCTTCGATTCATTCCCAGCTTTGGCTCATCTCATACAGGGGTCGTTTTCTTGACTGGGGGCCTCCTCAGTTTGTATTCCCTTTTGGTTACTTCATGTAGCATCCCTCTGTCCTTCAACCGATCTCGTCATCTTAGAAACTTAGAATGTTCACTCCTCCGACCTTGCCCCGTCGTTGTCGTACCCCTAACCGTGGAGGTCAAAATCGCGACTGAGAGCTCAAGACCGAGGCGCCAGTGCCCCAGCCTTTGTCGAACGCTCTAGTTGATGTGCCGGCGGGATGTCGTACGTATTTCGTTGCAGGCCGAGTTGTTGGTACCCTTGGCCGAGGTGAGGATGCATTTAAGGCCGGTATTTCGAACATGCCTTCACAGCGACTGGCAGTTGCCGAGGGTCGCATATCCTCTTGCTTCTTTGTTGGGGATCTGACTTTTGGAGGTATGGGATTGCCTTGGTAGGTGGTGAGATGATTTTGAAGAGGGCCGCGAGATAAGTTTGGGTGCGAGTGATTTTGCAGAGAAATAAAAATAGATCTTGAAGGTGGCGGTTGTTGAAATACGAACATCAGACAGGTTATATCCTGTCAACGGTTCGTATCTGGGGTGTAGATGGTTGATTTCATGGAGTTGTGCGGTCGTGAAATCTTTGCAAGCCGGATTTTCGACCAAAATTGAGCCAACACCATTCCTTCCGATCGCCAACTCGACGAAAACTCTCAAATCCACCCTTTGTCGTGACTGAATCTCGACTCTGGGAGAATATTCCACTCCCAGGCTCATAGGGCACGCCATTGATAGGTGTTCTGCCATCGTCCTCCTACGTGGTCAGTGGATGACACAGCTGAGTCAAGGAGCCACCACTAGGGAACATAGTGTGTCCGGGCTTCTGCGTCATGAATATACGTCTAGCATGTAGTGGCACACAATTGATGAGGGACGCAGATGAGTCAAGGAATTCTCCGTCGGAATTAGAGAAAGACTGGTGTTTTCATGTAGAGTGAGGACATGTGGGAGAAATATGTATATAACAGAGTAATAACTCTGCAAGTAGACATGATCAACCAACCATTCTAATCATTCATTCACTACAGTCTCGACTCACCTATAGATAGAGCCCAACAGCACACTGGTTTGATCAACCAATAGTACAGGTGTATCTCTATCCACTTAGAACCCAGTTTCATAACATGAGGCACCCAAACAAGGGCCCGAGTGGCTAGTCGCCGGAGCCTACATTGGCTCAAGATCTGCAAGCCAGTAGATAGTTGTGAGAAGGTGTTTGGATAACATGTTTGGGACTAAAATGTTTACTTTATTGTACAGCACGAGTCAATGACTATTTAGCACATTGGGCTTCCATCTGACCTAGACCACACCTTGTACAGAACGCCTATCCTCTTTAGTTACTTGAAAGATCATTGATATATTGCCCGTGATGAATAGCCATTTAGCTCAGTATTTACCCGTCGAATTCAGCCGCCTTTTCCACGGAACCTTCTACCCAAAAAAAAATAAAAATGGTAGCAATGGAAACTACGTGCGCTGGAAAAAGTCTCAAGAAAGATGCAGCCCTAGCCAGGCGAGGCCTAGACACCGGGACCACAACACTCATTTAGGAAATCATGAGAGTAATAAAGAATACACAACATTACAATACTAAACCTCATGTTACCGATTTTCATATTGCCGACCGGTAGGCATTCAATAGCTAGGATACACCAGGGATAGACTGTGCTAATAATCACCCGTGATCATAAGCTCCGTGAGCATCTCATAAAACCGGCCTACTATCGAATTACCAGGCTTCAAACGGTTTCAATCCTTACTCAGTCATGATAGACCCCTTGAAAATTCGAATAGCGCGGATGAGCAACTCTCTACCCCATAAACATTAAAGTTTTTATTTTATCAGGAATTGCCATATACTCCTGCTGTCGGAAAGTAGTTCAATTTGCTCTGCACTGAGCGTAGTGCATCTCTCAGTTGCTGAGTCATTGTCTTGATGACTCAGCCAATACCACGAACTACATGTTCGCAATGTTCATAGATAGATACAACAGAACTACAAGAATCCATACCTCACTTTTGTACCTTCCTGTGTGAATGTTTTTTTTTTATTATTATTATTATATTAAAGTCCTAAGCTAAAGCTCTAGATCCACTATCGGTACAAGACTGGTGGAGCCGGCGAGGATCACTGCTAACAGGCCCAACTCATTCCAACCGCGAGACCCGCTACAGAAAACGTAGGAGGTAAATTATAACTCAGAAGACACCATCCACTCCGACTCTGAAATCGAGACACCATCCTTCAACCCTAAATTCAAGTACATAAAATATTTCCTCAGAGAAACGACACTTCTCGCATCGATCCCTTTCGTGTCATGCGTTGTGGCAATGACTAGTTTATCTGATCCCCACTGAGAGCAGTGGATGAGTGAGCAGGTCGTATATCAAAACAGCCGGTTTCCTGCGCAAAACTTTTGAAGCTATCGTGGCACTTGGGCCCGAGAAGCTTTTTGATAAAGTCAGCTTGGGACATTGACTTTCTGAGGTTACGCGTTTGTTGTGCGTGGCGGTTACAGTGGATAAAGTGGGTTGGAGTAGTTTCCTTCCCGCAAGAGCAATCCATGGGAGCGTATGGATTATTAAAATGGCGATGGTATGCCGCAAAATTGCCGTGACCTGTTCGTGCTGCGATTAGTGCCCGGAGGAGGTGCCTAGAGAGAGCTAGTTCGGGTGGTTTGCGTCTCCGCACCTGTAGGTCGAGTTGGCGGTATTGAGGCAGACAGGCCTCTTCCCACCAGTCGTCTAGCAGCCTCTGTCGTCTGCGATTCATGAGAACACGTAGATATGCCAGAGTACATGATCCTGGTGGTGTCTCCTGGCTAGGTAACTCTCGAAGTGCGGCACGGGCAATGGTGTCTGCCTCCTCGTTCCCTTGAATCCCTGCGTGCCCTGGCACCCATTTTACCAATACTTTTGCCACATTACTTAATGCACGGAATCTGCGTACATCTTCTAGACTAGTTGGGGA